TAAGCAATAATCAAATTACAGTGTTTGCTGATACCCACCTTCATGCACTGATTTCCACTGTGTGCCTCTCTGGCTCCTAGCAGTAAATTTCCTTCATTTATAACTAGTAACTTCTTGATAGTAATATGCCTTAAGCACTTCAATCACTCCCTCAAGCATCGTACAAGAACTTCAAAGAGAGGCTAAACAGCAGAATAGTTTAGGTAAGACACATTTTTCTCCTACAAATGTCTATGAGCATAATTTAGTCACTCACTCATTCCTGTCCCCTCTCCCCCAGAAATGAAGGATTCCCTAATTCCCTAATTACTCTGATTTGCACCAGTCAGTCACTGGTGCAAATGGAAAACAAGAGGATTCTGAGGGCTAAAGATGAGGACTAGAATTCTTGAACTTCATTAACATATATTTCTATACAAGCTCTTGAAAATAAATTGCATTGACTTTGCCTCAGAAGTCAAGCAAGCATGCTGTTCGAAAATAATCCTCAACTTTTGGTTAAGTCCAAATGACTCGCACTTCTTAGAAAGTCCCTAGTTTTAGAACAAGTCTGTAAGGTATATTTCTTTAGAATGTGATTCATTTTCTATTTTCTCGCAGAGGAGAAAAGTCTCTGATTCCTGAGCCCACTTATCACCAGACACAACTTCTCGTGGGGAATTAGTTCTGGAAGCAGTGTACCTCTCCATCCGTGTTCATAACGACCTTTCCAGATCTTATTAGACGCGGATTGTGCCATGAACAAAACCCGCCATGAAGGGAAGAAGAAGCTGTGTCTGGGGGAGGGGGTGATGGCATGGTTTCAAATTATGAATTTTGTGCTCATGACAAGCACCGAGAACTTTACCCTCCACCTTCCATGGGGACCACAGACATGACAAGTGCAGTTCAAAGAGCAGCTATTTCCTTATGATTGGACACTGCAAGCTGAGGTAATAGGGCAGCTACAGAACATTAGGACTCAGTGCAGGGATGAGTAAAAAAGGTTAAAGCAAAAAGTCATTGGGTGGAATTGAAAGACACTGGGGTGGAAATTCCTGAGAAAAGGTAACTGATTTCACTGAGTCAACCAAGATAACAAAATACATCTTTTTCACTGCTCTGCTTTCTGAGTGGACTGCTGTAGAGAGTCCAGCTGTGCTGACCATTTTCAAAAAGCTGAAACATCCCCCCCAAATCCCGGAGAAAAGGGAAGTGATCTAACCTCAGGCCCACTGGAGCTCTAATCACATAATCAGCACCCCGCGTGCCCACCCCCTCTTTGTTTCCTTTTACACAATCTGTCCTTGCCTTCCTTCTCAGCCTGCTCCGGGCTGTATTAGCCATAGGCTATTTGTTGTGTAGTTGCTGCCAACTTGGCGAGAAGCCAGAACTGGCGGAAATAAAGGATTCTGGCAAGGACATGGACCAAGGACCCCAACAGAGTCAGCTCCACCTCCCACCCCCTGCTACACACACACACACACACACACACACACACACACACCTCAGCTGCCTCTGTTAACATGAAACAGAATTAGAAGTCAATGTGGGCTCACTAGGGACCTGGTTAGGCAAAAGTGGCATAAATGCAATCCAGAGACAACTTTTGAACATGAGAAAGGAACAGAAGGGCCCATTAGCGCCCTTTAGGGTCAGGTTCAAGAGCTCTGGTAGGAGAATAGTTAGGAAAAACGGGGAAGTTTTTGTTTGAACCGAACAAAATTATGCCTCGTGAGGCTGGTGCCTGACTGCTTTCACTTGCCTTTTCCATGGCAGACTCAGCCATGGTAGGCCTCAGTGGTACAGGCTCTGGACTGAAGCCCTGGGATGGGCTGGTTCTCAGGCGGAGGGCCTCCAGACACCTTGCCCAGGGCTGTTCACAATAGCCTGTGATATGCCTCTAGCCACCCCTCTGCCCCTACTGGTGTCTCCAGGGCATACCAAGGCCCTGGCCTGGCCTCCTCTGGAGACCTTGCTTAGGAGAACTGGAATCTCTGGAGCACCAGAGGGAGGGTGGGAGAGATTGTCCTTCAGGTGAGGGAAGCTTCTCCTCCTCCTCCTCCTCCTCCTCCTCCTCCTCCTCCTCCTCCTCCTCCTCCTCCTCCTCCTCCTCCTCCTTCTCCTCCTCTTCCTCCTCCTCCTCTTCCTTCTCCTCCTCCTCCTCCCCCTCCTCCTCCTCCTCCTCCTTCTCCTCCTCTTCCTCCTCCTCCTCTTCCTTCTCCTCCTCCTCTTCCTCCTCCTCCTCTTCCTCCTCCTCCTCTTTCTTTCCCTCTCACTCCATCTCTCTCGCTCTCTTCCCATCTCTCCCTTTCTCCCTCTCCCTGTCTTTCTCTCTCTCTCTCTCTCTCTCTCTCTCTCTCTCTCTCTCTCCCCCCCCCCGCCCCCCATCCCCTCTCTGTAGTCTGAGGAAACATGGCTTGGATCCAGCTTTCCTGGAGTTGATTCCCGTTCTTAGTGTTCTTAGTGACACTCTGTGGGTATCTCAAAAGAGATCTAGGGTTGTCACGGAAATGGCTCAGGTCCTGGGGTTAGAGAAGATAACTGAGCTTATGAGGCCACTCAGCGGGAAGCAAAAGAGTCTGAGGGGCTTGGGAAAGTGACACTCTGGAGGGTAAACTCAAAGGGGTGGGGACAGGGGCCCATGCTGGGGCAGTACACGGGGTGGGGGGTGGAGGTGGGGGTGGCGGTGAGGCCAGGGGTGTCCCATTCATTTTAGGTCCAAGCGACCTGTCAGGTGGCAGTGATCGGCAGTGGCTCTCTGAGGTCCCGTTGCTTGCGGGAGGCACACACTGTCCGTGACCCTGCACGAGAGCGCGGGATTCTGCACCAGGCGAGGATGAGCGCGCTGCGGTCCAGTGCGCGCGTCCCGCCGACGCCTCAGGGACCTTGACCCCTGCTCCCGCGCCGGGCCAAGGGCTTTTCAGCATCCTCCTTCTTCAAAGTCGCCAGAGAGGCGTCCTCAGCGCTCGGGTGCGACATCTCCGGATGTCACCCGATCTCAGATGTGAGATTTGCGGGAGCCCGGACGGTGCCGCGCTTGCATGGTCAAGCGGTTCTCGCTCTGCGTCCCAAGCTGCTTTGAGCGCGCGCGCGCATTTTAGTTTATTCTTTTCTTAGATCCCTAGAAGGGAAATGGGTTGGGGGTGGGGGGGGGGGCGGTGGTTTCCAAACTCAGCCACCTCTTCCTTAATAAACCACGACTCCTCCTAAAATCTCACCTGCGGAGAGAGTTGAGGTGGTGTGAAAGCCCCGCCCCCGCCCCGTCCAGGTGTCTTGGTTATCCAGGTCACCGAAGGGTTGATCCCAGGGGGTTGGCATCTTGCAGAAGATAAGAGGGCCCTCAGAGTGTTGTCTTGCGGTGGGTGGCGGGAGCAGACAGGAGGCAGAGTCCGGAGTATGTAGACACCTGGGTGGGACCCACCATCCCACTCTTGGAGCACAGCCCCAGAGAAGAAAAAGGAGGGAAAGCAGCCGTTGGAGTTGCTTTGGGCAAATCTGCCTCTTTAGGCACAGGGGGTAAGTCTAGGACAGGAAAGAACTCTCTGATGATACCCAGCACCACCCACGGGCCTTAGGCCAAGCAGCGTCCGCGCACAGACCCCCGAGACATCACATGTGGAAGTCCCCGGGACCGGGCTTGGCATCAGAAAGGAGGCAAGCTCAGTGAAGTGGGCACGTGTGTGTGTGTGTGTGTGTGTGTTGTCAATGCTCACTTTCAGGGCTTCCTGTAGCCTGCCTGTGCTAGTGATGTCAGATACACAGACCCTGAGCCTATGAAAGGGAAGTTCAGGCAGCAACGGATTCAGTGCCAGACACATGGTGCCCCTGTTTGCCTGTGTGTCTGTGCTCTTGTGTGACTTTTGCTTTCACAGCTGCCTGGATATCACCTGGTCTAGCCAGGGATGATTTCCAGTCCTGGAAGGTCCACGAGCAGAGCAATGTAGATGCTTTTCATTGTGAGAATGGGACTCCCTAGGGGCGGTGCTCAGTGATAACAGACAAGGCCGTATCAGAGAGGCAACCTGGGCTTATGGAAATTGCACGGATCATCTCATTAAAATGACCACCGCATACTGTAACAGCGTAGTTTAGAGCTTCAGATATGCTCTTTCAGACAGAAGCATTTCAGGAATGCAAGTCAGGTATATTTCTCAGATAAACGGCAGGAGGGGGCATTGCATAAGGGGGAGTCTCCGTTCTCGGGTTTCCTGGATCTCCAGGGGCGCATCATTAATCATTCACTGGGGTCTGCCTTTCAGGCCGGCAGCTCGAGAGTAAACCAAAGCGGGGCTCTTAACTAATCCTTCCTGCCCAGGGGATCCTGGGGCTTGACAACTGGACAGTCAGGTGCTGGTGCACAGCCCCGGGTCCCTCTTGCCTGGCTCCAAGCATGGGCGTATGTGTGCGCTCACCCTCAGGCAGAGAGACCCAGAACTCCGCAGAGGGAAAAGGATTGTGCCGAAGGATCAGCACTCTAGACGGTCCTCACAAAGTGGCTGAGGGTGACTCTCTGAAGGTGGCTCTCTGAACCCTGCCCCTAGCCCTTTCTTAAATCATCCTTAGCAGCGACAGCGGCAGCAACCAAACCTTTCTCCTCCCAGCGCGCCACCCCAAAGCTTCCCCGAGTTTAGCCTAGAGTGGCTCGTTCGCTACTCAGAAGAGAGTGCTCCGGGGGGCGCGCAGAGCGCCAGGGTTTGGGGTGGGGGGGGTCGTAAGAGCAGAAAGCCTGGAACACCGGGTCCGGGGACGATGACTCGTAGCACGTTTGCGGCCGCGTCTCCCTCCCCCGACCCCCGTTTCCGTGGCGGCCCCAGGAGGGCTGGGAGGCCCGCGGGGGGCCGGAGGGTCGGAAGCGGCGGGGTGGGGGGTGGGGGTCAGGCCGGCTAGCCGGGGTGCGGGGCCCCGGGGAGGGCGCGGCCGGCTCCCCTCCCACTGGCTGGCTCGCATCTCCTCCCCCCTGCACACCCCCCGCCCCCGGGAGCGCGGCTCCCTCCCCGCACCGGCCCGGAGCGCTCAGAGCGGCGTGCGCCGAGCCGGGAGTGAGATCACCCGCGTTATAAATATCCCGGTGCCCGAGCCCGGATCCGCGCCGGTGGCCTCGCCCCTCGCTCGCCCTCCGCTCCCCCCACTCCCCCTCTCGTCCCCGAGGCTATGTCCACCCGGTGCCGGGAGAGGGGCCGCGTCAGAGGCACGCAGCCGCGCGCGGGCTACGGAGCTCAGGAGCTGCCCTCCAAGATGCACTTCGGACCCCCGCGGCTGGAAGAATGAGCTTGCCCTTCCTCCTCCTCTTCCTCAGCCACCTGATCCTCAGCGCCTGGGCTCAAGGGGAGAAGCGCCTCGCCCCCAGAGGGCAGCCGGGACCCGGTGCCGGTGCCAGGAACCCGGGAGGCGCCCGCAGCAGCCGGAGCAGCGGTAGCAGCGCGTCTTCTGCTTCCTCGACCTCCTCCTCCTCCTCCTCCCCCTCCTCATCGTCCTCCTCGTCGTCCTCCTCCTCCTCGTCCTCCTCTGCAGCGTCTTCCGGCACTCCGGGCAGCGGCTTGGAGCAGAGCAGTTTCCAGTGGAGCCCCTCGGGGCGCCGCACCGGCAGCCTCTACTGCAGAGTGGGCATCGGCTTCCATCTGCAGATCTACCCGGATGGCAAAGTCAACGGCTCCCACGAAGCCAATATGTTAAGTAAGTTGCTGGCGCTTATGCAAAAGCCTCTCCCGGCGGGCGGGCGGCGGCTTGAGAGAGCCAGGAGGGCCGGCGGGTGGCCAGAGTCCCCCACGCGCCTTGGGGAGCCCCCGGCCCCGGCCACCCCCTGAGCCTGGAGAGCACCCGGCGGGGAGCGCACACACGATTCTCCGTGGTGGGCGCGAGGGATGGGCTCCCTTTCCTCAAGAGTAACTTCCCCGGGGCCGGGAACCTGCCTTCTAGTTTGCTCTGGTCCCAAAGACCAAGCACCGGCAGAGCTTGGAGAAATCTCATCTAATCTGGTTGAAAAAGGGGAAATCGAACACAACCCATTCCAATCGCCTCCTTGAGTTTCTCTCTTCTCTCTGCTTTTGTGCCAGGCTGACATGTTCTATGAAACACCGAAGTACTTTCTTCCCCCAGTCCATAATTGAGCCAGCTTTCTGCTTCTTTCTTTAGAAGACTGAAATCTTCTAACTCCCCCCTCCAGCTACCACCATAAACTCTGTATTAATCATATAACTCATAGATTATTGGGTATGCATATGCAGGAGACCTGATACTCCCTGATTTATTTATTTTTTTTTTTTGCGGGGGAGGGTGATCCCGGAAACTGGCCACATTTTGAGTGGGACACATGATGGACATTTCAATGCCAGAGTTGGGTTTAGCAACCTGGAGTATCTTGGCAACCATGGCAATGACTTACTTTGGAAGAGGGGCCAACCTTAGGGTCTCAAGGATAGTTAGGAAAAAGTTCTGTATTTGAATAAAAATTTAGAGGAGGTATGATTTGGTGTAGGTGAAAATCTTGCAGTTAAGAAGCAAGCTGAAATGTTTCCGTTTGAGGCTTTCACCTCCCCTTGAGTTCTGCATCTCCGCCTCCTTTCTGATTTCCCTTGCGTTCAACTCTCAGCCTTGTGCAACATCCTCGCCTCTCTGGTTTGGTTTCTCTCGAGGTCTATAGGTGAGGGCGGGTTGGTGAACTACAGTGATCAGTACTGGGTTTTGGGAGATTATACGGGGAGTGTGGGATCACCGTTCCCGCGGGGAGTCAGTTCCCCGGAGAGAAACGCAGCTAGATGCCTCGAGAGCGTGGAAACTGGCCAGGAGATAGCGCGGTGCGCGGCCTGTCACCTCTCCAGACTCAGCCTGGCAGCTCCCAGGCGGACCTAACTTGGTCAATCTCCACCGGATGAAGGCCGGGCCCCAGGGGGCTTGTTCTTAGCCCTGCTGGGGGCTGTGCGGTGGCCAGAGGCACGCAGGGGTCTGGCAGCCACTTTCCGAGTGTGGAGAGAGGCGCAGGCCCCTTCCCGGAGTCCAGGCTGGAGGACCTGGGCGTTTGCGCTGGCGGGGCAGCGGGTCCGCTCCAGCCTCTTGCCCATCTTGTTTTTCGGGCAGTGCAGTTCCAGCCGGCGCTGTTGTCGCTGGGGAGGCGGCCTGGAACTTGGAAACTGAGAGCATGCCCTTCACTGGGCCTTCGTCACGGTCCTTAGCAGAGACCGTTTCCATGTTCTAGGGCTCATTCCATTCTTACCAAGCAAATCCCTATCTTTGACGAGACAGGGAAGGTCTTTGGGGGATTTCTGAGATTTCACGGGCTTGAAAGTTGTGTAAATTCCACTGTTTCCGACGGTCCTTAACTTTTCCCTACCCAACCCTATGCTCCATCACACAAAAGTTTATTTCTCTTCCAGAAGAACTTTCTTTCTCTTCCAGAAGAACTTTCCACATTCTTGTTCTCTATGTAGAAAATCCACACTAACAGAAGTATAACCTCTGTAAGTGATAGACAATGGGTTGGCTCCTAGGGGTTGGTCTGGGGTAGGTTTGCTGTGAGTGAGTTTGATTTCTGAAAGCCAAAGGGAACATTAAGAAGAAAAAAAGTGGGATTTTTGAGTTGTTGTTATTTGCACATTAGGCCTTGCAGAGTTGTAGAAAAGCACAGAAAGGAATTTGAAAATAGATCAACCAAGATAACAGTCAGCTAAAGAAGATATTGACCAATATCTATTACTTCCAAGGTACAATTTATTTAAAAGTCCACTTTGAAAGATATCTACAAGAAGAATAGGGACTTCCTAGCAGTTCCAAAATAAAACTTCCTTGATTCAATTGCCCCTTCCCTGATTTATTCCAGTTTACAATCAACTTCCACGGTTTAGTCTCTTTTGATCATTCATTCATTCATTCATTCATTCATGCGAGCATCCAAGAAAAGATAGCTATCTTATCAAGCTTAGCATTTTGTTTACCTTTGAATTCAAATTTGTGGAGAGAAGAGGTTAAAGGAGTCTGGCTCACAGAAGAAAGCTTAATATAATGTTCAAATCATGATAATTTTTTGTTTAGTGAGAATCTGGAGTGTCTAACACTTCATAACATTTTGCTAATGTTAATTGATAAGGAATTCTTGGAACACAGCATGTTTAAGATCACATTTAATTTGGAAATTTGAAATGGATCGCTTCCCTTAGACAGTCATGAAAGAGAAGCTAGAGGCTGCTAATTGCAGTTGGTCCTTTACTTCTCTGAGAGCAGTCTTTGACAATTCCCTGATGAGTAGGTAAACCAAGGCATTGGTCATGGACTGCTGGTAAGGGTATACGAGGAAACATTTGTCAAAGTCTCTCATGAGACACAAAGACCACAGAGGGAACACCAGAGCTTTTTGTCATCACTGAATGAATGCTAACATCTGTGAGTTATCAATGATAGGAAACAGGTTTGGGTCACAGCTTGCTACTTCAGAAGAGTCAAAACTTTTGACTGCATTTGCTAACATGTTTTTCGAAACTCCCTATTTTGGGTGTAAACTGTATCAGATAGAACATACATCTGTATGCATACTGTTATTTGGTATTAAAATTTTTAAAAACTGGGATGCTGAGAAAGAGTCCAAACCTTATGGCACTTGCCTTGAAGGTAACAGGCCTGGTTGGACCCACACGACACCATCAGATGTGGCCCCAAATCCAACCCTCACACTTATTTTTGAAAACTGAATACATTATATATGAGTGTACCACAAATCTTGACCATACGTTTGATAACATAATTTTAAGCTAAAATATACAAAGTAGCTCATATTTGCATATTTTATAGAATTACTATCCAACATTTTGAAGATAGAGAAAGGGATAATGTTGATTACACATAAACTCATAATGGAAGAGATACTGGGAAAGAATTGAAAGAAATGAATAAGGCAGATAATGAAATATTTCTATCACATAGAAACAAAGTTTTCTGTACATACTTTCAAGTTTAATTTCAGGACAGTGCTTTTATCGACTTATCTGAAGCATAGATGATCAGATAGTTGTCAATTTAGGAATAAAATTTTAAAACTATGACCTAAAATTCCACAAAACCAAAATGTTCTGTTTAAAGTATGAAAATTATAATGCTATATAGTGGATAAATAGAATCTCAAATTTTACTGATTTTTAAAAATTTAAATTAACTTCACCAATTTTTATATTCTCTTGAGTAATATCTGAAGTATTTAATATAGTTCCCTAATATGGCCTACTGCAGTCTTTATATGACCCCCAAATCTAGGTAGACCAGAGACTTTACTACTATTTTATCAAAGAAAACTACTAGGCTGGATGTTTTTAGGCTCAGAGTTGACAAGGATATAGTATGTGTCTAGCTGTGTGACTGCAGAGAGAGAAAGTCAGGCTTTAAATTAATTTTCTTTGGGGATTTTCTAATGGTTTATTAAAAGCTTTTAAATGCATGTTGTAATTGCATTTTCCTAGATCTTATTTACCATGAAAAGGGAAGTGTCTATATAATTGTGTCACTCATTATTAATACAGTTTTGTTGCCTGAAAAATCTGGAAGAACTAAAACTTTTTAAAAATCTCCATGTATACTACTGAAAAAACTTCTTAATGCAAAACTGTACTTCCAAATCAGTGGATTAAACAGAGTCTATGACCTGAGAGATACCAAGTTATTGCTTCCTGCAAGTGAGATGTTCACCCAGAATTTTAAGATAGAATAATTCCTCCTGTTAAACATAAACTTTTTCTTTTGATCCTCTAAAATATGAACACCTTAAGAAAGATAACATATTCCCACTGGCCACTAAATTTGAATCAATTTATACCAATCCTTCCCACCTCCCAGGTGGAGAAAGGGCCCACATAGCAGGAAAGTACTAATCTGTGTCTATACATGTGTGCACATGGGGTGAGAGAGTAAAAAGGTGGAAAAAAACCCACTTAGCAGAACTTCATAGGCTCTTATGATCTGTGAGAAATATTGGCCTCCCCTAATTTTTCTTGTGGATATTATCCTAGCATCCATACCATTAATTGCAAATTGTCTTCAAATATTTTATTGCTGACTCTAATTGACAGGAGTCGAGAAATCACTGAAACTTAAAATCATTAGTTATTTTTCCTAGGCTCTACAAGTATGTAATTTAATGTGTTTAAAATATTGTGTAGACTAGTAAATTGCTGCATAGTAAACTCAGTGTGTATCTGGCATAGTAAACTCAGTATGTATTTGATCTCCTACCTGGAGCAGAAACTTGAGTTGTGGGGCTCGTAGAATCTGTACCAATGTTCTAGAAACAAAACAGTGAAATTACTGTTGAAAATTATTTTGAAAATTATGTTGAATTACTAATTTAATAATCACAAATTTATTTTTAAAAATACTTAAAATTATTATTATTTTAAGAGAATTCTCAATATCATGATAAAATTATATTAAGATTTAGAAAATCATACCAGAACTGTCTATGTGAAAAGACATTTAACTTAATCCTATTTTATTCCCTTTATGTGTACTTCACAATTTAAAAGTTAATGAGGTTATAAAGGTGTATTTTAAAGCTTTCAACAAGATATAATTTTCTTAAATTATAAAGAATTCTTTTATTCTTAGACAATATATAATTTTATTACTGGAATTTATAAGAAAAGAAGCTATGTAGTGTGGAACAATAATGCTTTTACATTTATTATTTCATCTTTCACATATTTGAAATGAAAGGTTTATAGAATACATACATATACAAAGCACACACATGTTGAGAACAATGGATGTTCTAAAACTTAGAATGTTATTTGTTAGAAATTCATAAATTATGAAAGCAAAATAGTGTTTCCAAAAGATAAATGTTTATAGAGCTTTTCCATCCTGACCTACAGGTTAGCGGGAAAACATATATAATAAGAATTTTGTCTTTTATGCTATATTGTATTTTTTTGCTATAGAATAATAGATTTGCTTTTGAAAAACTAGGTAAACTTTTCAGAAAATTTTATTCCAGAGAGATAAATAAAAAAAACTCTCATAATACAGAGCCATGAATAGTATCCTTTTTCATTTTTACCATTACTTTATACCACACATAGAAAACTTGTCATTGTTTCCTCTGTCCTTTAAAACTTATGTTTACAATAAAACTCCTCACCTCTCAAATGTCAGAATCATAAATATTGCTTGTAATGTCCTTCTGTGATTTTGATAGCAATATAACTGGGTAAGATTTTCTGTTAATGCTATGTTAATATTGCTTATCTTATTACATTGTGTGGTATATTGAACTTTACAAAACATTTTGTATGCCGTTTCTATTATATAAATCATAATTCTTCTACATTTATGTGTGCACCCTAGTGAGGTCATTTGTATAGCAAAATGTAAATAACATTTTGAAAATATTTCCAAAAACAATTTTATGAGACAATAATTTTTTTTTATGAAAAGAAAAAGTAGTTTCTTTTGTGCAAGTGTTCAAAGTTTTAGGTTTTTTTCCTTTCAAATAACTACCCACTGATAAGTTGGTAGCACAGTTTCCTTGTACTGTGTTTTATTCACTCTGAGCTAAGAATGCTTATACCAAAAATAATAGTTCCGCAGTTTCTCTCCCTGCCCCAACCATGAAATTTTTGATTCTGCTTTTTATGCTGCTGAAGGGTTTTTGTTTGGTTTTGGTTTTGGTTTTTTGAGGGGGCCACATTTGGTTGGAGCTAGTTCCCACTCAGTGCTGGGGGCTTCTCCCAGGGAACTATTTGGTGCTGGGTATTGAATAGAGGGTTCCACAAGCAAAACGTGAGCTTCAGCGCATTGAATTCTCTTCCGAGACCAGATGAAGTATATTGAAGAAAGTAATTTTAATAATAAGCAGCTGCATTAAAAATGTGCATCGTAAGGATGTAAGCAACATATCCCAATAGAGATATTCACGTAGGCTTGGTGAATTTAGCACACTTGGTAAAGCACATGCGTCTCATTGGGGATGCCCTGAATTTAAGCTCCTGCGTCATAAGAAAAAAGATATGTTCGTGTCCATATATACACGTATGTCAGACACAACGTTCTGCTTCTTTTGTAAACATAGTAATTCTTTATTTATTTTAAATAATGGAGGGGCAGATGACTGTTTCAAGAATACATGGGGATTTTCCCATAGCATTGTCGTGATGTTATCTAAGTTAGTACACATGCCCAGAATCTAACAAATATGACTTTTAGATATTTTCCATTCTCCAACCAACCATCCTTGCTTGTTTTCTTCCCCAAATAGCTTTAGCGAATGGCTTTTGTTTTGTCACTCTTTGTTTTTGATTGCCGATTTAATGTAAGCAATTAACAAAAATCACGGTGTGTTTCTCATGTTAATTCAATGTTTCGTGTTAGTCTGTGATAAGCAGGCATAAATTTCTACAACGAGTTTCATCTTAAAATATTTCTTAAATAGACTTAAAATACTTTATGAATTGTGGTGTATAATTCTGTCGACTTACAGGATCTGTGCTTTCAAATTATTATAGGACACAGAGGGACACTGATTTGATAATACTATGAAATATTTCATATAAATAACAATGTGATAACATATCTGATTACATTTTTTTCAGAAATTACTCAAGTGCAAGATGTCTCAAACCATAATCCATTAAGCACTTCATTGGGCCAATAATCCCAAATTACTTAAAAGGTGTTTCAATATCATGTTATGTGTGCTCATTAAATGAACTGCTTGCTAAATCATTGAGTATACCCTATATTGATTTATACTTTTTTCTATTTTGAGAATTTGAGAAGAGGGGTTTCTTTTATGTAAATAGGTACTTTCAAGACTTTCAATGGTTTATAAATTTGGAATATAGATGTTATGTACTTTAATATTTAAAGCAAAGATTTATATTTAATAGGAGACTAATACATAAGAATGACTTTGAAAAACCTTAAAAAGTTTAGGGAGCTGGAGCGATAGCACAGCGGGTAGGGCGTTTGCCTTGCACGCGACCGACCCGGGTTCTAATCCCAGCATCCCACATGGTTCCCTGAGCATCGCCAGGAGTAATTCCTGAGTGCAGAACCTGGAGTAACCCCTGAGCATCGCCAGGAGTGACCCCCCCCCAAAAAAAAACCTTAAAAAGTTTATTCAGTTCCTTTCGAAGTTAAAAGTAAGACACAATTCACAAAAGTAATATCCTTTGTAAGAAAAAAAGAATGATTAATGAAAAAATAAACTTTAGAATCCTCAACCCGATTTTAAATTAATACCTGAGTAATAACCTTTAAAAAAAAAACATAATTAGGGACTGCAGAGATAGTGTAGCAAGTAGGCAAGTAGGGCGTTTGCCTTGCATGCGGCTGACCCGGGTTCAATCCCCAGCATCCCATATGGTCTGCCAAGCACTGCCAGGAGTTAATTCCTGAGTGCAGAGCCAGAGGTAATTCCTGAGCATTCCCAAGTGTGTCCGTCCCCCCCCCCAATGAACCAAAAGCCAAAACAAAAAATGCCATAATTAATATGATGAAAAATAAGAATGTTATTTATTTTAAATCACAGTAATAAAAATGGAAAGAATCTGTAGAAATTTAATTCTTACAATGCTTTATAGAGGATTCTGTTTTATTTTGGGATTTCTGTCATCCTAGGTGTTTTGGAAATATTTGCTGTGTCTCAGGGGATTGTAGGAATACGAGGAGTTTTCAGCAACAAATTTTTAGCGATGTCAAAAAAAGGAAAACTCCATGCAAGTGTAAGTAGAACTACTTTATATTTGTTAGAGTGTTGTGGATAGTAGATAGGACAATTGTCTCAGAGAACTGAATTTCTGTGTTCATCATGTGTACCTGGATGTGCTTTTAATAAGTGATGAATTATGTACCTGAAGATTTTTTAATAAGTCATTATTTAAATATCATATTTGCTCAAAATGATAATATAGAATCTAAAGAAAATTTTAAGCGTAAGTGTATTTGAATATAGCATCATAAAAGTGATATTTTTTTTTCAAAAGCAGTTCAAGTGAAGAGAAATTGTAGAAAAACTATAACACTAAATTTGTATGCATATGGGTAATTGTAGAATTAATTGAGTTGTTACTGAATTATACAAATTACTGATGATCTTAAAATCTTGCTCTAAGTAATACAGGACATAGCTATTTTATTATGTATAGAGGAAAGGAACTAATAATAAAAAGATAATTTTTCAGAAAAATAATTTTTTATTCATTTGAGGGATTCTCATCTAGTATTTTTGTTGCATCACCCATAATTACTTTTTAATACTAGACTAATATTGCACTCAAAATTTTCTCTAAACTATTTATATATTTACATATTTTCTAATAACTTTATAAATTTATATTTTTTCAAAAATTCTCCTCATAGCAGTACTCCTACATTAAAAAAATTCTTCTCAATTTAGTCAATTTAAAGATGATTAAAATATATTTAACTTACTTTTTATAAACACTGATTCTATTGATTTCTATTAGTATAAGTGAATACTACTTATCAGTGATTTATGCTTTTTCTATACTGTATGGAGTTTATTTCCATGATATATTTTTAGAAAGCTGGGACTAGAGAGATTAGTACAGCAGGTAGGCACTTGCAACCAACTCCAGTCCGATCCCGGGCAACCCATATGGTCCCCTGAGCCTATCAGGAATGATCCTGAAGTGCAGAATCAAGAGTAAGCCCTGACCCCTGTTGGGTGTGGCCCCCCAAAAGTTATTATTTTTATATTAGTCTTTTAATTCTACTTCCATTTAACTTTTATTAAATGATTTGGAAAATTTCTTTTCTCATTTTCAGAGTGTATAATAAGTTTATAGCTGAGTGCAATCACCTGAAATTTACTATTTATAATTTCTATTTTGAATACCTTTAAAAGATGCAATGAGAATTTCACTTGTTTCAGTGTTTAAGGATTTTAATTTTCCTTGCCCTATCCATCTAAAAGTAAGTTGTTAATATCCCTTGATGAAAAATAGAATAAAAATATTGCTACAATTATTTGAGAATTAAAATGATACATATAAAAATTTTAAAGTAACATTGGTCTATGGCAGAGCTGAATAAATGCTGTTGTCATATCATATTCTATAATCAATTTCTGAAATTTCATTTTATTATGATAAATAGAAAACTTTTCTTGATTTTTTTTTTGTAAACCATTGCAAAAATTATAAAAAATATTTACTTGGGGCTGGAGCCATAGCATAGCGGGTAGGGCGTTTGCCTTGCACGCAGCCAACATGACCGACACAGGTTCGATTCCCAGCACCCAATATGGTCCCCTGAGCACTGCCAGGAGCAATTCCTGAGTGCATGACCCAGGAGTAACCCCTGAGCATCGGCGGGTGTGACCCAAAAAGCAAAAAAAAAAAAAAAATTACTTACTTTATTTTCTAACCTGGCTATTACATTCCAGCAAGCTATTAAATAGTACTCATAAAAGAATTGTTTTTTCATTATATATTTCCTTATTGTATGGGCTGGAGTGATAGCACAGCGGGTAGGGCGTTCGCCTTACAAGCGGCCAACATGGCCGACCCGAGTTCGATTCCTCCGCCCCTCTCGGAGAGCCCGGCAAGCTACCGAGAGTATTTGATATGCCAAACACAGTAACAACAAAGTCTCCAATGGAGACGTTACTGGGCCCGCTTGAGCAAATTGTTTAATAATAAACAATAAAGAAATAATCTGGAGCGATAGCACAGCAGGTAGGGCATTTGCCTTGCACCTGGCCTACCTGGGTTCGATTCCTCCGCCCTTCTCAGAGAGCCCGGCAAGCTACCGAGAGTATCTCACCCACACTGCAAAGCCTGGCAAGCTACCCATGTTGTATTCAATATGCCAAACACAGTAGCAACAAGTCTCACAATTTGTTGTAAGATGTTACTGGTGCCCGCTCAAGCAAATCAATGAACAACGGGAGGACAGTGCTACTGTGTTACAGTGCTATTTCTTTATTGAAGGTGCAAAGTTCTGCCTCACTGTGGAAAGGCAAAACATGCCATGTTCTTTTGTGTGTCTGTGCATACATTTTTTCTTGTTTTGGTTTTGCTCAGTTTTGGGGTTTCAGTTAACACTGCTTAGGGCATAATCCTGGCTCTGTGCTCAGGAATGACTCCTGGTGGCCTCAGGGGACCATATGGGGTGCCCAGTATCAAACCCAGGTGGGCCACATAAAGACAAAGGAGCTATCCTGGTCACAGTCATTTTCTTATAATTAATATTTTGGGTTGGAAGATAGCTCCAGTGTAAGAGTGTGTGTGTATATGTATATATATATGTATATGTATATGTATGTATATATACATATATAAATATATGTGAATTTGAGCCCTAGCATTGCATGGACCCTGGAATGCCAGATGTGACACTGGTCACTGTAGCACCACAGTACATAGCTAGAACACTGGACTACACATGTGTAGATGTGCCAAGCATTGCTGGAGGTAACACCTAGACAACTTTTCTTAAAAAATTAAATATGATTTTTTTACACCCATCACATAGAAATAATAATAAAGTATATCTTAAGGGGGAAAAGCATATTTTTGCCTAGCTTAAGCTTGTATAAGATTAAAAACTTGATCATCATCATAATATGCAGTGCCTGTGAAAAAAATGTTCTGCGATTGGTTTATTTGTTTTGGGTAAAATCTCAATTTTTTTAGGTATTGTAATTCAGGCCGTAGCGCAAGCAAAAAATAGACTGAACTTTGGCCAGCTTAAGGATAATTGCCCCAGAAAGGGAAGTATTACAAATGGATGCCAATTAGAAAGGTCGAAGTAAGCGGTTAGGATACATGATTCCACTGTCAAATGCAAGTAACAAATATCCAGAAATTTGACCCAAATGTCTAAGGATGGCTGGCTGAAATAATGTAGATAAAGCAAAAACAGCATCTGTTATTCTTTCTCATTTTGGCAGGCTAAAGTTATTTCATGGAATAATGACTTTCATAGTCCAAAGCAAGTCTTGCTCTTGTCACTCATTGAAGCTCTTTGATATAAAAGTCATTCTAATGACTCTGAGCTGAATCGGAGATAAAAAAAAAATTAAGCCCTCTGATTATGTGATTTTTTTCCAAACCAATCATCCAAGCTTACTTTCTCTTCCCTGAGCTTTTTTTTTTTTTAAATTTTTATTAGTTAAATTTTTATTAGTGAAACACCATGAGGTACAGTTGTAGACTTACCAATTTTTGTGCTTCTCTGAACTTTTATTGGTGCTTTTTCTCTAGTTGGAAATGTTTTTTAAAAAGTGGTTTATTTTTAAGGAAGTTAAATCTAAGAATAATATTAATCCAAGCAATTATCAGCTTTATAACCAGATGGGTTTTTCCTCCCTGTTTTCAGTTTCTAGTTTAAACATCTTTAAAAATCGTTCCTGTAACTTTAAATTTTATTAAAATGGTTTTCTAAAATAATTAAAATATTATTTGATTGGGTTATTCTTTTACTTTTTCTTTTTTACAATGAGAATAGTCACCGCAACACTTCTTTGAGGATTTGACATGTAATTTGTGAGTTGCTTTTCACTGATAATTGTATAAAGACATTTATGGAGTGTACTTATAGTCATTTTACAACCTATAAGTATATCATCTTAACTTTACACAGTGTTGCTTGTTATCCCAATAAAACTGAAAAAATTTGTAGAGTAAATTTCGGGTTCTGTCTACAATGATCTAAAATCAGACCTATTTGTTATTATGTGAAAGGTAGTTTCCATGTTATTTTGAAAAATATTTATGGAAAATTGTATACTTTCCAATTTGTTTTTAATTGATACATTCTGAATATTATAAATTAGTTATTAAGTTGAAATCATGTCTCAGTGTTTTAAAAGCTCTTAGTTATCTCAGTACCTAAGTGAGGTGTCTCTGAAAAACCAAACTTCTTTGGCTGTTACTGTTTTAAGAACTCATTGCCCATAACGACATCACTTTAGAATTCTCTCTCTCTGTCTCTATCTCTGTGTTTGGAGTCATATCTGACCATGCTCAGGTGCTCTCTCTGACTCTTTGGTGGTGCTCAGGGGACCATTTGGTGCTGGGGATTGACTCCAGAGCTCCTGCATACAGAGCCTGGGCTCAATCCTTTGAGCTACCTACCTGGCCCATGTTCATTCTCAGAAGCACTGTTTTTACATACTTTTTTTATAAAAAAATTTTACATGATTTTAGAACACTTTCTATCACATTTAATGAATGAACACTATGGAAAATCCTTAGAATAGTTTTGTGATTCTTTCTTTTTCTCTTACTCCAGAACTTTTTTTTTTTTTCAAATCTGTGTTTTGTTTTTAAATCTGTGTTTCTCCCTCTTCTACTTTTGGGTGTCTAGTACTTGATTTGCAACCTAGAAAAAAGTTGTGTCTGCCGTGTTATTTACCACAGAGTGCTACAAATGAGGTGATCATTATCCAACGAGATGTGAATTTTGTGGGGTACCCTTCTCAGGAGAAATTTTGAAAAGCGCAACGGTGATCTCATGTGTCTTTTGAAAATCTTCCTTCAAAAGGCTTTGTTCTCAGGGAACACAATGATGGCAAAGCGAAATGAAAGACTGAGCAGCCTTTACAGTGATTTTCTTTTGGTGCGAGATTTCCTACAGTGGTGAGGGCAGTTTTATTTGAATGGGGCCACCTCAGCGTTGTGAACTATTGCACACTTCCACCAAACTCCGAGCACTTCTTAGAACTTTTACTGCTGTGCGTTCTTGGTGCAGTTTC